AACACCTGTGCATGCTCGCCCAGTTCGTTCTGCGGAAAACATTGCTGTTGTTCGCGATAGTGTGGCAGAAGAGCCGTCAACCTCGACTCGTCGTCGTGCCCAACAATTGAACATCTCACGAACATCACTGATGCGAATTTTGAATAAAGATTTGAATTTACACGCTTACAAGGTTCAATTGACTCAAGAGCTGAAGCCTACTGACCATTTCAAGCGTCGTCAATACGCCGAATGGCTGGTTGAACAGACAGAAGTGAATGGTGACTTTACAAAGAAAATCATCTTCAGCGACGAGGCACACTTTCACCTCAGTGGATTCGTTAACAAGCAGAATTGCCGCATTTGGGCAAATGAGAATCCACGAGTGATTGTTGAAAAGCCGATGCATCCACAAAGAGTGACTGTTTGGTGCGGTTTATGGGCTGGCGGCGTCATCGGGCCGTACTTCTTCGAAAATGAGGTCGGCCAAGCAGTTACCGTGAATGGTGTTCGCTATCGCGAGATGATAACGGACTTCTTGTGGCCAGAAATTGAGGATATGGACCTGGACGATATGTGGTTCCAACAGGATGGTGCCACTTGCCACACAGCCAATGAAACAATGGCTCTTGCGCGAGAAATTCAATGGCCGTGTTATCTCACGTCGTGGCGATGTTAATTGGCCGTCACGATCATGTGATTTAACACCGTTGGACTTCTTTCTTTGGGGATATTTAAAAGAAAAAGTGTACGTCAATAAGTCAAGAATAATTCAAGAGCAAAAGGATGAGTTAATTCGGCACATTAACGACATTGAACCTCAATTATGTCTCAGAGTCATTGAAAATATGGACCATCGGATAGAGGTATGCCACATACTCGACAAATTAGGCAGAAGTTGTTATTTCACCACTTTAGATCTAAATTGAAATGGCACCAGAATCAATTCCAAAAACAGCATTTAATACGGAACACGGACATTACGAATTTTTAAGAATGCCCTTTGGACTCAAAAATGCTCCAAGCACTTTTCAAAGAATGATTGATAACGTACTTCGTGAACACATTAACAAAATTTGTTTAGTTTATTTAGATGATGAAACTATTAAGTTTTTTCGACCTCTTTACAAGAACATATTACAAATTTAAAAAAGATTTTCCAAACTTTAAGAAATGCGAATTTAAAAGTACAATTAGACAAATCCGAATTCCTTAAGAAAAAGGTTGAATTTTTAGGACATATTGTTACCCCTGACGGAATAAAACCAAATCCTGACAAAATTAATGCAATCAAAAAATTCCCTATCCCTAAAACACACAAACAAATAAAATCATTTTTAGGCCTACTAGGATACTAAAGAAAATTTATTAAAATTTTTGCCAAAACAACAAAGCCACTTACAAATTGTTTGAAAAAAGACCAAAAAATTTAATTAACACCTAACTACATATTATGTTTCGAACATTGTAAAACCCTGTTATCAAATGAACCCATCCTTGCATACCCTGACTTTGAAAAAGCCTTTGAACTCACAACTGACGCGACGCATCAAATTTCGCGATAGGTGCAGTGCTTTCGTAAGATGGACACCCGATAGCTTATACATCAAGAACATTAAACCCTGCTGAGATAAATTACGCGACAATAGAAAAAGAATTATTAGCGATAGTATGGAGTTGCAAATATTTTAGACCTTACATTTACGGAAAGAAATTTACTATTTTTTTGGATCATAAACCTTTAGAATGGCTTTCAAATTTAAAAACACCAAACACTAGACTTATTAGATGGAGATTACATTTAGAAGAATTCGACTATGAAATAATATATAAACAAGGAAAAACTAATTACGTTGCAGACGCTTTATCTAGAATCAAAATTCAAGACGTACCAGAAGAAGTAAACGCCCTAACAAAAGCTAACACAACACCATTAGAAGACGGACGACCTTATGTCTATGCTGAACAATGTTGACGAAATTCCAGAAGTTGACGAAACTAATTTAAACGAATTATTAGAAACCATGACTGATCAACCGACTACTTCTCAAAACGAAGACTTTGAAAATTATATTCCACAAACCATTATCAAAGCTCAAAAAGAAAATGACGAAATAGCAACAATCCATTCCTCACACGAAAATCCTATACAAGAATTTCCCATCACAGAAAAATGCATTAACTAATACGTAAACCAAATTATTATAACGGAATCAACTAACTCGTTGGCAAATTTTACAATTCTTGCATCAATGTTTAATAACATACGACACAAAATTACTTTTAAATCTAATTCAACTAAAGAAGAAATTATCAAAACATTAAAAAATGCAGTCGATCCCAAAAGACACTATTGTATGTTCTTTCGTACTAACAAAGATAATCTACTAAAACTTCGAATAATTAGGACTTTACAAAACAATTTCACTAAATTAAATTTAACTGTATCAAATTTGTTTGTAACTGACGTAACCAATGAAGACGAACATCAGAAAATTAAATACCATCATGAAGGAAAAACCCAACATAAAGGAATTAACGCCACTTTATCATCACTAACAAAAAACTACTATTGGCCCTATATGCCAAGAGACGTACAAAATTACATTTTACATTACATTTACCACTTGTCAAACTTGCAAATATTAACGCAAATCTCAAAACCCACCTTTCGAAATTACACACACCCCATCTAAGCCTTTGGAAATAATTCACATCCATTTATTCTTCATAAATAACAATACCTTCTTAACATTCTAGACCCTTTTTCAAAATTTGCTCAAGCTATACCAGTCACACAAAAATCGGCAATCGAAGTAATGGAAGCCCTTACAACGTTTATATCATTCGTAGGAATCCCAAAAGAAATCATTTGTGACAACGGAAAAGAATTTAGGAATAACATAATTTCCGACTTTTGTAACCTTCACAAAATAAAATTGCATTACATAACATTACACAATTCAACTTCAAATTCACCAGTAGAACGACTACATTCGACACTTTTAGATCAAATTCGATGTTTAACCCGTGAAAATCCTCATGAAAACATAAAAGTCTTAATGAAACAATGGGATATAATAATACACCCCTTTTGAAATCCTATTCGGACATCTTACACAAACCTTACCTTTTGACATAAACGAAGAAAACATAATAACCAACTATGTCTTAATCTTAACAATTAATCAACCGTCAGTCCTGCGACTAACCACAGGCTGTAGTATAATCGTAGCCAATCAGCGATTCTCAGCTACAAAAACCGAGATCCAGCTGCCAATTTTCCAGTTACCAAAAATCGAAATTCCATAGTTATGGAATATTACTATAAACAAAAACACACCCCTACATTTGAAAGAAATCGTCTTCGACCATATTCATTCATTATCAAAATCATTGGAAGAAGGCAAAATGGACCGATTCAGTATGGAACCCGTTGATCCTATGAGTTCAATTAACCTTTGGGTTTTCATCATCATCATAGTATTATGCTTGGGAACCATCATCATTGCTTTCCACATCAAATGCAGACACCGATGTCCCAACCTACTCCGACGATCTCCAAAAGAAGGACCGATGAATGTCACTTCAAAAAACCATCGCCAGGAGACGATGAAACCACTTCGGCGGGAGGAGTTATATTAGTGTCCAAGTGACATCATACTATTTTTTATCATAATATTAAGTTTCATTTATATAACTAAAATGCTACATAGAATATTATGCTTATTTAACAAAAGATAAAACTTGTATAAAAACAGCTGTAAGAAAATCTAGAAGCCAGATTGCAGTAAACTCGTAATTGAAAAAGTGTGTATTTTATTGTGTCCGCACCCAACGTATAACTTGTTTAATGAAATTTAAATATGATATGATAGTAACAAATATGTTGTAGCGGTCTTTTTAGATTTAAAATGAGCGTTTGAAACGCTTGATCGTACTATTTTAATAAAAAAGCTAAAACGTTATGGTAATGGAGGTAAAGTACTATAATGGTTGGAATATTACTTAATTAATAGGATGCAAAGAGTACGAATTGGTGAATGTATCACAGGTAGTATTGTCAACAACTTTGGTGTACCACAAGGGAGTGTTTTGGGGCCACTTTTATTTCTAATTTATATTAATGATATGGCTTTATATATTAATTGTGAATTTATAAATCTATTTGCAGATGATACTTTATTGGCTTGTAGTGAATCGAATTTGAATGAATCCATTGATGTAATGAATGCAACACTAAAAAATTTTAGCCAATATCTTAAAGTCAATAGATTAAAACTTAATATTGATAAAACTAAGGCTATTTTATTTACAACTAAGTATAAATTTAGTAAAATAAATGTTAATAATATATATGTACAGGGTGACATAGAAAAAAGTACATTGCATAGTGTCATACAATAGAGGACACTAAAACAAGAAAAAAAGTTCCTATGAACATGGGTCCGCAAGGCCTTCGGTTAAAGGATACGGGGTGTTGAATTTTAATTTTTTTTATTTGCAAAAACATTGATAAATACTTCAACAACTAAATTTTAATGGTATGATGAAAAATATGATTAATTAAAACAAAACATTAAGTTTTTAGAAGATGTTCAAATTGTTGCCCTTGTACTTCAATACATTTTTCCATTTTTCTTCTTAATGATTGACGGCATCTTTGAAATATTCCTAGGTTATTATGAAATCTATCTGCCGATTCCATAATTCTTATCCATAATTGTTCTTCATTATGTATTTCTACAGCATAAACTTCATTTTTCATAAAGATATTCAAAAAAAAAACCCAAACAAAAATAAAATTCAACACCCCGTATCTTTTAACCGAAGGCCTTGCAGACCCATGTTCATAGGAACTTTTTTTCTTATTTTAGTGTCCTCTATTGTGTGGCACTATGCAATGTACTTTTTTCTATGTCACCCTGTATATACATATTTAAACAACGATAGTGAAAGAATTGCCATTGTTACGAAAGTTAAATACCTTGGCTTCGTACTTGATAGTGTGCTTTCATTTAAAAGTCATGTCAAATATATTCATAATAAAATATATAAAAAACTGTTCTTTTTTTTAAGAATTGCAGGAAATTTAACATTCTAGAATTACTGTTTACAATAATTCGACCACATTTTGAATATTGTGCGTCATTAATGTACTTGTTTAATGTAAATCAACTAGCTCAATTACAAAAATTACAAAACAGATGAAAATCGTACTGGAATGTAATAAATATGCACCCACCAGTTTTATGCTTTCTGCAATTCGATGGATGTCTTTTAGAAATAGACTATATTATTGTACCATGATATTTATTTACAAACTACTTAACTACTCCATAATCTATTACCATGCTTTTCGGTCCATATATAATCCACATTTTACTAGAAGCGCAAATTTTGTACGTATCGAGAGTTAATTACAGTCAAACAAAATATTCTTTATTATATAAGGGTATGGATGGTTTTAATAAATTACCAGTTAGTGTTAAGGAGTCACCTTCCTTAAATGTGTTTAAGAAAAATCTTCGTAGTTATGTTATTAACACTTTTAATTAATTGATCCGTCCTTATTCTAGACTAAATTCACTTATATTTGTAATATTAGGATGTTCCTATTTCTGAATAAAGTTATTATTATTAAAAATACAGTGGGTTAGGTACGAAGCCTCACTTCCA